TGTGCCCCAAAGTTCTTTTGTGAGACCCCAAGGATGGAGTTCTCTCGAGGCATTAGGTCCTGACCAACATCTGGCAGACACACAAAGGAAACAGTGGGTGATAAAAATGACTGACATTTAAGTTAGTCTTTGGTGCCTCTACCTTCCCCACAAACCCACCACGATGTGTATTTTCACAAATGAAGCACTTCAAACAAGAAAAGACTCATGAAAGAGCCCACAAGAGCCAAACATTTCTAGTCTTAATAGATGTTGTTTAATGTGTGCTTTGCTCCTCACCCTGCCTCCTCACAGCCCTCAGGCGCCCGTCCTAAATACTTTGGGATACTGCCCACAAGAGAGTTGAACACCCCTGCCTTACAATCGCTGTCTTGTGCCCATTTCAGGTTAGGATTTTGTCTCTACCATCAAACAGGCTGTGTGACATTGGGCAAGTCACTCAGCTTACTTGAGAGTCTGTTCCCTCATCTATATTCATTTAATCAACAGATACATCATATCAGGCACCACTGGGGTTGGAATTCATGTTTAGCCATTTCTTCCCCTAATTGTCAGACAATTAGTCACTAAGATGACTTTGTAAACCATGTATGACCCTATGATGTTGCAAGTTGTGTTCAAGGTTTGCTGAATGCTTGACATAGGGACAGACAGGAAGACGCTGACTGCAGGGCCCACTGCCAAAATTCATCAAGTCAGGGTCAGCCTCCAGGGCTCTTGCTGCAGAGACGTGAATAACCTTCCAGAGAGACAGTGAGGCACTGGGGTCACAAGAACTTTTGACCTAGGAGAGCATTTGGGCTCCTTGGGCCTTGCTTTGGGTGGTGAGGGGATTAGCTAGATGCAGGAAAACCCCAAGGCTGCCTTGGGGCCCTGGAAACAGATGCCTTTGGGAAAAGCCTGTGGGGCTCCTCTTGTCTTCTGACTTGTCTCAGGATAAAGGAGTTAAAAATTGATAAGAAACTGAGAAACAGAATGAATTTTAATTTGAAGGTGCAGTAAAACCAATATTCAGGCAAGTACTCTAAGAATTGTTTCAGCTTTTATTTACTGAGAATATACCCGTTTTTAGGCACTGTGCTAGTCTGGGTATATGCTAGAGTTCAGAAGGCCCACATGAAAATGGCCCCCTTCCTCTGTCGGGGGTGCATTCTAAGATCCTCAGTCAATGCCTGAAAGCTTGGATACTTTGTCTTCTCCTATACAGACTGACATAGGATTAATATAAAGATTAATTTATAAATTAGGCACAGGAAGAGTTGAACAACACAACACTGGCTAATATTAAAATAGAACAATTATAACAATTCACTGCAATAAAGTTTTGTGACTGTTGTCTAAGTATCTTATTGTATGTAAGGAGGTAATAAGTACCTGAAGAGGAGAAAAGCCTCAGACATATGAGAAAGGTGCTGTCTGGGATCATCTCATTTAGATGCAAAGACCAGTGATATTTACTTTAGAACTAAAGGATTCAGATTTTTCCTGTTACACAATGAGTCAAGATTAAACACAGGACAGAGGGGAGGGGATGAGAAAATTATTAAAATACAGCATAATTCTTGCTGAAGAATGCTGGAAGTTTGTGTGGAAGTTTGAGCTAGAAAGCAGGGGGCTCTTAGCCTGGAACAGAGGTCTCTGTCAACCATCAGTCTACCTGTGGAATGTCAATACCTGATATTGGCTTTTCACTTTGCTCTCCACCTTTGTTTTTCTGTCATGGGTGAAGGTCTATAGGAGAATTATTTATGGGAAGTTTTGCTACATTTCTGACACTTACTGTGTGCAAAAGACTCTTTTAAGTGTATCATATTAGATTCATTTAATGCTCATCATGTCCACACTGTTTTGGCTCTATTATGATCAAGTCCATTTTTATAGGCGAAAAAACTGTCACAAAGGAGGGACAGTGACCTGTCCAGCTACACAGCAAATAGCTGGGACTTGAATCCAGGAAGTTTAACTCCTGGGCCACAGTCTGTCATCTATGACACTATTTTTCTAACTTTTCCATCCAGATGTGGTGTATATTTTTTTACATTTATGTGAATTGTTGCCATTTTCATGGGCATTTTTTTTAAAGGATTTTATTTATTTATGCATACAGAACTGGGGTACAGGCCAGAGGTGCAGGGGCAGTGAGAGTATTCACCAGAGACAGAGTGGGGAGCAGAACAGGCAGAGTGAGGAAGTACACTGCTGAGGGGAGCAGTAGGCGGATCAGGAGAGGTCTTCCGCACCATGTGGTCACCTCCGGGGCAGGCGGGAATCGAACTCATGCGGAAGTGGCCTTAGCTTCTTAGTGCTGTGTTTTAACCCGCTGCGCCACCAGGGAGGGCCTTCATGGGCATTTTTAATTTAAAAATGTGACTCTGTAAAAATATTTTAGAGTTATCTCAAGATATAGACAAACCTGGGCAATATCATGGATTTGGTTCCAAACCAAATTTACTTTATAGTGACGATTGTGAGTCATGTAAATATACTAGAATGTCACCTATTAAGTGTGAAACAGCACAATGTGTAAAAAAATATATATATGTGGGCGCTCCCTTGTGGTACAACGGATAAGAATGCAGAAGCAAGCTAGCTGGAGCCTCTTCAGTGAGAGTTTGACCCCTGGCCCCCGAGGTGACCCACATGGCACGGCAGAGCTCTCCTGACCAGCTCACTGCTCCCTTCAGCAGTGTACTTTGTCGATCTGCCTGTTCTGCTCCCCACTCTGTCACTGGTGAATCCTCTCACCACCCCTGCACCCCAGTTCTGTACACATAAATAAATCTTTTTTTTTAAAGATTTATTTATTTATGCATACAGAACTGGGGTACAGGCCAGAGATGCAGAGGGTGGGAGGATTCACCAGAGACAGAGCAGGGAGCAGAACAGGCAGATCGATGAAGCACACTGCTGAGGGGAGCAGCGGGTGGGTCAGGAGAGGTCTGCGGCGCCATGTGGTCACCTCTGGGGCAGGCGGGGATAGAACTCATGCAGAAGTGGCTTAAGCTTCTTAGTGCTGTGCTTTAACCCACTGCGCCACCAGAGAGGGCCACACATAAATAAATCTTAAAAAAAAATATATATATATATATATGCTCCAATTAGATGTGATACAGAAACAAAGTTAGCACAAGCTGTTGGAAAATTGTGCCATAGATTTTTTTCCATGCCAGGTTGCCACAAAACTTTAGTTTGTAGAAAATTCAGTAAATGGTATCTGTGAAGCACAACAAAACAAAGAGGAGCAGTAAGACAGGGACTACCTGTAGTTTAAATTTTATTTGGGGAGGTACTGGGGGGAGAAGATATTTATCTGGTGGAATTTTAAAGATTGTATCTTCTGTTATTTCTTAGAAATTTTAAACTTTTCCACTTTTCATAGCTATGAATAAGGCCTTGCATGTATTTCAAAAGCACATTCAAGATTTTGAAGACTGCGAGGATGGTGTTCAGTCATTCTGACCTTGGTCATCTCTTTATCTATCATATGAGCAGAGAGTGATGGGCAGAAGTCTTTAGAGAGGAAACACTGGTACCTACTGAAGTTTGACTTAAAGAACCTTCCGTCCTGCTAAACAGTTTTGGTTACTCCTGAAATCAAACCTTCTAGCAGCATGTGTTAGCCAAGAGGTGATGTTTGAAGTTGTTTTTTTAAAAGCCCAGTGTGACTGGCCTTTGGAAAGACTGGTGGCAGAGACACCAGTTAGGGTACCATTGCAATCATTCAAGAGAGATGTAATTAAAGTCTGACCTAAGGCAATGGTGGTAGAAAAAACAAGTCTGGAGAGGATAAGCCTGGAGTGGGAAGGGTTAGTGGGGGTGGGGGGTGTAAGGTGTGAGAAGCAAGTGACAGATGAAATCAACATCCTGGGTGACTCTTAAAGGGGGGGAGAGGAAGAGAGAAGAGTGGAAGTTGTCACAGGAAAGAGTGACTTCAGGTGAAATAGTTTGTACTTGCAAGGAACATGGTGGGCAGAATGTGGCATGGAAGTAAATTTGGTTTGGTCCAGTTGGTGTGTCTTAATGATAGCCGCAGAAATGCTGAAAGTGACATATAAAACTAACGAAGTTTGAAAGTAGAGCCCTTTATGAAAAGGAAAGGAAGGATTTAAGGAAGTCTATGTGCTTTTGTGGGAGAATGAATGGGACTGGAGCTGGCATTTGGAGCAGGTGTGGCTGGCCATCTGGAACTCCTGTTTCACCCATGGAGGCAGCTGCTACCTAGAGCCAGCTGACCAGGTGTGCAGAGCTCACCCTGAGCTGCCCAACTTTCAGATATTGCCAAACAGCATAGAAATACATATTTTTTATATGGAACATCCCAACTTAAAAAAATGGATGACCAATGTGAAGCAAAGCATGGCGAGGCTAGAGCAGGCCTGTGGATTCCACAGGGTCTATGGGCTACGGTTTGCAATCTGATCTAATTCTGAAGAGTGGGTGAGATGGGTTTTTATAGTGCTTTGTAACATTACGGCACATTGTCTTTGGGTGCAGCAGGAGGATGATACCCTCTTGTAGAAGGTAAGAGGGAAAGTGACCCCTCCACTCCAGGCCTTGCTGTCCAGTGCCTGAACTTGCCCCATTTCTGAGTACAAGAAATGACCAGCAGCCCTTCCCAGCCTTTTAGGTAACAAAGAAGCAGCAGCAACAGCAGCAGCAGCAGCAGCAGCAGCAGCAGCAGCAGCAGCAGCAGCAGCAGCAGCAGCAGCAGGAGCAGCGACAACTGAAGCTTTGAAAACTTTCATCAGAAAATTGTGGGCTGAAACTTCCTGGATTTGCTTCTTGAAGCTTTTGATTAAGATGCAAAGAGAGTGGGTGTCTCTCTGAACTGCAGAAACACAGAGAGGTGTTTCCCATGGCTCTGGAAACTCTATAAAGAACGAGTCGGAGTCCCTTCTGGTGAGCAATCAGCAACAGGGGGCCCGTTCGTGACACCTGGGCCTCCCCAGGATTGAGACAGAAAACCCTTTTCAGGGAGCTGGCTTGAGTCACCGGCTGCCATGCAGCAGCCCTTGAATTACCAGTACCCCCACATCTACTGGGTGGACAGTGATTCCAGCTCTCCATGGGCCTCTTCAGAGTCCGTCTTCTGTCCATCTTCTGTGCCTGGCAGGCCGGGACAGAGGAGGCCACCCCCACTGCCACCTTCAACACTACCACCACCGCTGCCACCGCCACTGCAGCCTGCACCACCACCTCTGTTGCCTGGACCACCACCTCTGTTGCCTAGACTACCACCACCGCCTCTGAAGAAGAAGAGAGACCACAATACAGGCCTGTGTCTCCTTGTGATGTTTTTCATGGTTCTGGTGGCACTGGTTGGACTGGGTGTGGAGATGTTTCAGCTCTTCCACCTGCAGAAGGAGCTGGCTGACCTAAGACAGGTAAGTTGCCTAGTGGATCGCAGGGTCTGTGAGGGACTGGGCAGGGGGCAGATATGCTGCAGCAGAGGGGGTTCCTAGGGCCACTGTGCAGCTTGCAAAGTGCTTTTCAATCTTATTTTAGAGGTGGACTATTGTAGATAGTCTCTTCTGTAGGCTGAGAAATGGAGGATCAAATGAGTAAAAGAAACATTTCCATGTCGTGAAGGGTCAGGTCCACGTATCAATAGACCACAGTTCTTCCTTTCTCACCTAGCAAATCCTTCTGCTGAGCAGGTGCCTGCTTCCTACCTAGTGATTCCAGAAAGAAAAGGAACGCTGAGAGTTGTGTAAAAGTGAAACTGTTCAAGTGGATAAACCAAATTTCCTTGAAATACTAAAAATATTGGCCTAAATCACAACGCCAAGAGTCGGCGATTGGCCAAAGTCTGAGTTAGGAGAGATTCTGAGCTATCGATTATGATTTGGAAACTATGTTTCTTGGACAATTTTTCCCCTTTTGCTTGAAGTACTTTTTATTCCTTACACATCTTTTTCTCTTTGCTAGTCCTCCATTCAAAGGTCCACCCCATCGCTGGATAAGCAAGTAGGTAAGTACTTTTATACAGTACTTCCCAGCACTGAACCAAGTTGGTCTATTCTCTTGAATTCCTTCCATTCACAGGCATATACATATTACAAGAAGAATCCTGGATAATTCTGAATTTCTGTTCAATTTAATTTTTTGAACTGCCTTTAAGTATGAAGTAAATTTGATTGTTCAAAATCTGTGTAGGTGACCATGGTACAAAATTAAAAATAACTTTCATTTGACTTTAGAAAGAGATCCACACACATATCCTGCCTGTGATCTAGGCACTCCGTAGGCAGCTGGTTCTAGTCCTGTTCCTTGCTTGGGGCCTCCTAGCTCCTATGCAGAGTGGTGGGTGCAACCCCCAGTGAGAGGGGGGAGGTGAAAGTGGAGACAGATGTTTTTGCAAAAAGTCCTCTCCTCTAAAAACATTACTCAAACACCAAGCCTCATTTAAAAGAATATTTATAAATTGTATCTAAGCTTTTCACAAGAGGACTCTCAGTAATCCACATTAAGCTGTTCCTTTTGCAGTCAATGAAAAGCCATTATTCAAGGGTAGTCCAACTTCATCTGACTGATTAATAAAAGAAATGTTTTGTGTAGAAAATGTCAGACATCAACTTCATGAAGTTTCAGGACATAGTCTGAAAATTGCAGACTGATAGATTTTAGGATAGTTCCCCACTTGTCTTAAACTAAGATTCATTGAACATTAGATTTGGTTCAAGTTGGAAGGGAATGCGGCATCTAGAGTAGTCATCTTAGTTTTCAGAAGAGACAAAGATGGCAACTGGCTGAGGTGAAATGCCCAAGAGCAGTGGTGTGGAACTGGGGTTGGGAGGAACATGGGATTCTGCATCCTCATCACAACAGGGCTTGCCAGGAGATGGATTGGTGCTTCTTTAGCTAGGACAACTCTCAGCTCTCTATGCTGGCAATGGAATGAGAATAAAGATGGCAAGCAGGTCTTCTGCAAAGACACTAATAAATCTTCACAGACATCTAGTGCGATATTCTCAGGAGGTGCCTGCTGCAGGTGATCCCAATCTCCCTACAGCTCTGGAATGTACTTTCTTGTAGGAGTCATCCTTAAGATGCTCTGGGCCCTGGATCTGAGTCCCTAAGTGGTTTGAAAGTTCAGATGTAAATAGCTAGAGTAGAAATATTAGTAAAAGAAAGTCTCTAGAGATTTCTAAAATAAAATAACTCTGAAAATCAGTGAAATGTGACTGGTGAAATAGGTACCCAATTACTCATCTTTCACCCACCCTGTGGCATCATCTTAGTAATTAAAAAGTCTAGAGAACAGATGAGTCAGGTCTCCCTACTCCAGGAAACATCTTTTCTACATCAGCCCAGGTGGACCAGAACTTGGTGAATTATCACATGGAATTGAAATTAGTAACTTTACTTATAAGATGAGATGCGGATTAAAACAAGGGTAGATTGGAGTTTTAGTTGTAAACTTAATGTTCCTAGATACAGATTTGGGATTTATTTGGTTGAAATATATAAAGCTGCTTCAATAAGTTTTTTTTTTTTTTTAAAGAACCCAGGGAGGGAGTTACATTTTCATCCATCATATTTTTAAAGATTTAAAAAAAAAAAAACCCAGATTGGCAAGAAAGAAAGAAAATTGTCTGCTTAAGCATTTAGTAGGCAGCCAGTGGGCTGTAAATTGCTGTAACTTTACTGAAGAGCACTTTGAAAAAATATATCTAACGATTAAAACTGTTAGTTTACTGTGTAATCTCTTTACTAAAACTTTATCTTCAGCAAATAGTCAGATATATAGGGATGACCATGACTTCGTTATGAGGCTATTTATAATAAACAATTTAGAAGCAATTTAAATTCATCATATAGGAAACAAGTTAAATACTTTATAGTGTATTCAGATGTAAACATAATATGTAGCAACTGAAAACAATGATTTAGGAGAATATTTAATGACATGGAGATTGTGCATCCTATATTGTTAGATAAAAAGACTAGTTATACATGGTGATAGCACACGGGTGACTTGGTGATGGGAAACCCGCGGGGATTACAATTGAGATGAAAAAAAAAAATGTACAAAATGATGTAAAAATAAACTTTTGTAAAATAAAATAAAAGACTAGCTATACAACAGTATGTTTAGTTTAATATTGACTAAATAAATATATATGAACACTTTAATGTTCTAAGTAAAGAACTAAAAGGTCCAACATGTTAACAATGACTTTCTCTGGAAGGTATTATTATAGATAATTTCAACTTATGTATTTGTTTTTCAAAGTTTTTTTTTTTCCCCATCCACACAGTGGTTTTATTTTTATTCAATTTTAAGCAGACAGGAGAATTAATATAACATTCACCAACCACAAATCTGCTTTTTTATTTAGATCAGTGAAAAATGATATATTCAAAAGCATGGATTTAGGGATTTTGAAAACCTTTTATCCAGGCCTGTAGCTCATTTTGATGATGTTACTTTTTTTTTTTTTTTTAATTGGGGTAACATGGTTTACAACACTGTATATGTTTCAGGGATATAGGATCACACACCACTTCAAATATTTGTTGTCACACCACAATTTATTTGCTTTATTGTCTTCCATGTTTAACTCATTATATTTGTTAAACATTTAAAATTTTCCCCCATTTTTTATTGAGATATAAATGGTATACATCACTGTATAATTTAAGATGTACAGCATAATGGTTTGATATATCTTTTATTCATTCACAAATATTTTTGGAGGGCTTCCTATGTGCCAGTCTGGGAGTTGGATGGTGGGTGATGCCTAAGAACAAGAGAGACAAGAGACCTGCCTTTGTGTAATTTTAGCATGCTGGAGAAAATAACAGAAGCAAAGAAACAACCAGCATAATTTTAAATTGTACTAAATGTAACGTACAATAGAATAGTCTGGAAATCCCCTGTGAAGAAGTGGTGAGTGTGTGTGTGAGTGTGAGAGAGTGTGTGTGCATGTGTTTGTAGAGGGAGTGAGGTGGGAAGACAGATGGACACATTCCCACACTGAGCATGGCAGGTACAAAGGCCCTGGGACAGGAAATAATCACAAAAGTATAGAATGTATTTCTGGCTTATTTGATCCAGTATTTACCCAGCAGGTGTTTTTATTGAGTAGCTTCTATGAGAATAGGACTATAGAAGTCTCTCAAATGGAGATGAAGACATGTGGCATGTGGTTCTGTGTTCTATTTCCTGTTAGTACATGGCTGCATGCCAGATCAGCTGCACTGCAGGGTTGTGGTGTAGGAATATAGAGGAGACTCAGTTTTGCCTTTCCTGTTCACAAACACCTCATTCATTGTGGGTGGTCTTGTGTGGTTATGAGGTAATGATTGTTCAGGAAATGTTCTCAAGTAACTGGAGCATTCTTGAGCCATATTTGAGTTTTCCTAGGTAATTACAGCCCACTATGGACAAGAGCATTTCTATGATTCTTGAATATCTCCACCTAACTGATTAGCTAACTTGGTAGCTCTTTTCAGTTAACGTCTTTGAAATCAGAGAAGTAGTGTCTGTTATGAGACACAGACTACTTTAACTCTTTCAGTTTAATTTGGTGAACATGTTCTGTGTGAGAACTGAACTAAATATTTTGGTGGGATCAGCATATTGTAGGGAATTTTCCTTTTATTTGGTGGAATGAGATAAGTTATACTGTTACCACACAAAAGGGGGATCAGAAGTGACAAGAGAGGAAGACAGAGTGATTCTAGCCATGAAAGGAAGGAAAAGTCATACTTGATTTTCTTGAAAAAAGAGGTATTTTAGGTGGCATTGATAGGACTTCAGGAATTTGACACAGGGCTCTGCTTGAGAGGACAACCTAGGCAGAAAAGAGAAACGGCACCTACAAAAGAAGCTGGAATGCTCAGGCCACATGAGGGTTCTTACTAGATGACAGTGTTTAGTGCGCACAAGCAGAGGAGGTTCAACTGAACAGATATGCAGAAAGTAAGTGGTAGGGAAGTGTGTACATGATTATACCTTCGTGACCTTGGTAAGAGGTGGTTCAGGTCTGAGGATAATGAGTTTGGGACAGATTGTAAAATGCTGTTGGAGGAAGGCCTTTGTAGCCAGGAGTGAAACAGTGGTTTCTTCAGCCACAGACCTGTAGCTTTTAGCTGACAAAGAGCCCTGATGTGGAGTCAGGAGACCCGAGTCTCATCCCAGATCATCTCTGACACTGGGTCTTCCAGGACAAGTGACGCAATTTCTAAGCTCATTTTGTTATCTATAAGGTGGAACAATAATTTACATCAAGGGTAAGTTCTCAATGCAGTTACCAGCATGACAGCTCTTGATGAATCAACCTCAATATTATTTTATGGTGGCATTATTATTAAGTCACATGTCTAGTTTAGATTGGTTTATTTTCACTCCTCTCTTTTTGAAATACAGGCTGCTGTCATTTCTGCAGTTTGGTTTGACCAGATTAGAATTAGGTGGCTGCCATTTGTGCTTTCAAAAATTCTCTTTTATTTAAATGCCCGGTGTAGAGTCCCATCAAAATAATAGTCAAATATCACTTTTAACTATATCTCCTTTCTCTATGATGCAGGTGACCGAAGTCCACCCTCTGAAAAACTGGAGCAGAGGAAAGTGGCCCATTTAACAGGTGTGCGTTTGGATGTAACATGTGGGCTTAGGGGAGCATTTGGCAGGAAGCACAATGACTGTTTATTCCATGACTGTGCTCTGAGAAGATGGTTATTTTCCAGGGATGCTGGAAATTTTTCATACATATATTGTTTTAATCAGGTCAACCTCACACGCACCTCGAACCCTTACTCTGGACACGTCCTGTTCTAAGCTGGAGATGACATGATCTCCACCTGTAAGGAGCACATGAAAAAATTTATTCCAAATGCCTTTAGGGAATTTGGGAGGCAGACCTAAGAGGTGGGAAAGTGGGGGATAATGAATGATTTTAGTCCACATTTCCCTGGTTGTCTAGATGGGCATTATGCTGTTTTGTCTCAAAGTAGAAAAGGGACCAAGAGGGGAGATGAGGCTTAGAACTAGTGAATTTTCAGCACATGGTCATGTAGTGGGGTGAAATGATTTGAGAGCAATGCGGTGTGGACACTGCCAGAAATTTCCACAAGTAGAAAGTATTACAGAAAATAGTGTGACACTGTACCTGGAATTATTGAGGCAGAAGATGTTGAATGGTCCAGTTTGGGCCACAGACCTTTATTGAGCACATGCTATAGGCCAAGCCTTGAGGACATGGAAATGAATAACACATGGTTCTTGCCTTCTAGGAGCTTAACTGTAATAGGGAAAAATGAGTTCATGAGCAATAATTTCAGTACTTGGAAGTGTCTTTGCTGAAAGCGTATGCAGCACTACGGGAATACAAAGGAATAGGAATTCAAGCCCACACTGAGAAGGGTGAAGAATTCTTTGTGTAGCAGATGAGTTCAACTGAATGATCCTTAAGATCCTTCCCAACTTCAGGACATTAGATTCTTATCTTGGAGGGATCTGAAAACCCAGCAGCTTTGATGCTAGTTGTGAAGATCATGAGAATTTTATTTGAAAGAGCAAAAATCATGTCAATAACTTCTCACTACAATTGATTAGGGGTATTTAGTTATACAGATGCTAAAATCAAGGCAGACAATTTAATAAAAGTGTGGAAGGAATTCAGTGATGAGTGAAGTCTGAATCCTTAGACTGGTCTATATAGTCATGCCATTTTGAGTAGGAAACATTTGCTTAAAGATGAGTTGAAATTTTTGCCTTGGAAGCTTAATTTATTGGATGTGTGAGTATTCCTGGCTGAAAGCTCTTTGATTTATTGCAGGAAAGCCTGACTCAAGATCCATCCCTCTGGAATGGGAAGATACCTATGGAGTTGCCCTAGTCTCTGGGGTGAAACATAAAAAGGACAGCCTTGTGATCAATGACACGGGCCTGTACTTTGTATATTCCAAAGTGTACTTCCGGGGTCAGTACTGCAACAACCAGCCCCTGAACCACAAGGTCTATGTGAGAAACTCTATTTATCCCTGGGACTTGGTGCTGATGGATGAGAAGATGATGGACTACTGCACGAATGGGCAGATGTGGGCCCGCAGCAGCTACCTGGGGGCAGTGTTTAATCTCACCAATGCCGACCATCTGTATGTCAATGTATCTGCACTTTCCCTTGTCAATTTTGAGGAATCTAAGACATTTTTTGGCTTATATAAGCTCTAGGAAAAGGATTCTCCCTATTATGATTGCTTGTCTCAGGCACAGAGAAGGTTGTCTTGAAGCAGGCCTTTTTTTAAAAAAGATTTATTTATTTATGCATACAGAACTGGGGTACAGGCCAGAGGTGCAGGGGCAGTGAGAGGGTTCACCAGAGACAGAGTGGGGAGCAGAACAGGCAGATCGACAAAGTACACTGCTGAGGGGAGCAGCAGGCGAGACAGAAGAGGTCTGCTGCACCATGTAGGTCAGCTCCCAGGCTGAGGCGCTAACTCACACTGAAGCAGCTGCAGCTAGTTTGCAGTGCTGTGTCCTAATCTGTTGGCGACACCAGGGAGGGCCCGAAGCAGGCCTTCTTAAGCCCACTTGAGGTCATGTGAGAAGACATGAGTGAAGAGGACTGTGATACCGCAGGTTCCAATAAGTCCACAGGTCCTCATCTCACCTAAGACCCAATAGCAAGATAGGAGGAAGAGAAGCAAGACAGAAGACTCTGGGCTGCCATGTGAAAATGAAGAGGCAGGAGAAAACAGCTACCAGTGTGCCCTACACTCATCTTAACTGACCGAGAACATTTTGACACATTGAAAAGGACATCTTTTCTCTCACCTCTTGTGGTGAGTCTACTGTCTACCTCAGGGGAGGCTGTCTTTCAGATATATGGATGTGACATGAGTCTGTAATGAATGGAAAAGAGAGCTAAGCTTGCACAATAAGCTAAAGAGGCTGAAAATGCAATGTCCTGTTGACAGCGTCTTTACTTCTAAAAGCATAGCCTGAGCTAGCAGGTGATAGCTAATAGAGAGCAAGGGGGAAGTTTTTGGGATTCAGTCTATTATTTCCATAGTGTGTATATTTTCAGTTCAGCTGAATTGTAGGGGTGTGTTTGCATGTGTGCATTCTTGTGTGTTTACGTGTAGATTGTGATGGACATGTTAGGTAAACGTGGGTTGCACTGGTGGTAGATTTTGAAGGCTTTTTGGCAACCAACTCTAATGGTCCTTAAAAATTTTTTGATTGTCAATTATTGATGCTGGTCTACTACAATACAAACAATATTTATATACACTTTGGATATTTTCAATGAAAATATTACCTGTAATAAAAAATTATATTTTGAATACAGATGACCATTATGAGTATCCTTTTCTGGGAATCAGTAAGGTTTCTATTTTTCTTAGCTTTTCTAATCTCCACAAGCTCTTTGGTCATTATTTCTTTAGGTTACCTTATGAAGAAATGACTTGGGTGAAATGAATTTGGAAGCCAGTCTTCATCTTTTCCAGGTCCTTTGTCCTTCTTTATAATTTCTCCCTTCCACATCTCCTTTTATACAAAGTTCCATGACATTATTGCCAGTGGTAATCTCACCCAACATTCCATGGAAATGATGACAACTTGTCTTTTCCTGGGGGGCAGAGTCACTGCAGAGTGGAACGGCCCAAATATGAATTTTTTCCCCTCCAGTTACTAAGTATGCATGTCACTTGACTTCTTTTGAAGCAAAAAGATCTGACAGATACTTTATGTATCTGACAGTAGCATGTCAAAAATGGTATCTATCATCTGATATTAAAGAGCCCTTCTTTACAAGGCACTTTATTCCCTGGAAGAAACCACTGATCTGAGGGTTCCATCCAAAAAACCATTCTCACCTCCCTCATCACAATGATCTTTCCCTACATTATTCAACACTCACCACAATGGCCTCCTTCTAGACTTTATTATCATTAGAAATTACAATACTGGGCCTCCTGGTGGCTGAAGGAGCTGACCCACATAGCGCAGCAGACCTCTCCTGTTGTGCCCATTGCTTCCCTCAGCAGTGCATTTCAGTAGATCTTCCTGTTCTGCTCTCCACTCTGTCTCTGCTGAATCCTCTCATCATCTGTACCTCTGGCCTGTGCCTCAGTTTTATTGATAAACAAATAATAATTTTTAAAAACCTTAAAAAAATTACAGTACCTTCTTTGGAGTTTGGTTTTAATCACCTTATTTTTATAACATTTTCTATTGTTACTTCAGCTCAATTGCTCCACTTTTTCTCTTCTGATTTTTTTTTTTTTACCATATTAAGACCTCTTATTAATGAACTTACCATTTTTTATCTATGCTCCAGCTACTTCCTTATCTTGCCTCTCTGTCCTGGTAAGAGTCCATCATCTGTCATTAGAATCAGTTGCTTTAAAAGTCTCTCATTTCCAAAATATGGTACTTCCTTCACTGTACTCCCTTTGCAAAAATCCCCTTTTCTTTAAGTTGGTATCCTGGCAGCTGATGTTGCTGGAGAAAAATTATTCAGACTGTCTAGTTTATTTTTCTTTTTCATTTTTTTTTAATGTATCATCTACTTAAGCCAGTCAGTCCTCTTTCTGCCCCTAGAGATGGCCCCTGTCTTCTTATGTAAATCCCAAAGATGTTCTATTCATAAATACGAACTCACTATACACCAGGGTTTCCCAGCCTCATTCTATTGACATTCAAGCTGGTTATTCTTTGTCGTGAGGGATGTCTTGAGCATTATAGTATGTTTAGAGGAACCCTGCCCAATAGAAGCTAAGAGCATCTCCCCAAGTGTGACATCCAAGAATATCTCCTGACTTTGCCAAATGTCTCTTAGAAGGGCCTGGGGGAGAGACAATACTCTCCCATGATTGAGACTCAGATCTCAAATGGGCATTCAGCACACCCAGCACTTTTTCTTCAGTGAACCTGTATGTTTTTTTTTTTTTTTTACTCCTTGATATAATTACATCTTTTCCTCTCCTAAACCAACCACATCCCCTCTTCCCACTATAGAACCTACCACCAAGATACAACTCCACCTGAATCTGCACATTCTCTTTCTTCCACTAATCACAGGGAAAGGACCAACCACTATTTGTACAAGAATCTCATTCTTTCTCTCTTTCAAAATTTTGTTCTCTCCCTTCAATCTTGGAACCCCCATTTAAAAAAATATTTCCACCGGCTTAGACAAAACAGACAAACATTTCTTTACCCTTCCCTTTCTTCCAGGAATAACCATATTTCTTATTTTGCCTGTGGAGTCAGGCACCTGAGAAAGTTGTCTACTTGAGCTAATTCCCTGGCTGCTCAGGTAGTGAGGTCCTGATTTGCTAGGTCTTCATTTAAATGTTACCTCCCCAGCCCATCTTAAGTATAGTCTCTCCTCTGCTTCTTATTATTTTGTGTTTATTTATTCCTTTATTAGTAATTTCATTACTTGTGGTGATGTTATTTTTTTGACCATTTAAAATAGGTTTTTCTCTCTAGAATACAAGTTTTGAAAACAAGACATTTCTGCCTTATTTACTCCTCAATCCAGACCACCTGCCTTAGTGCCTGATATGTAGTAGTTGCCCAGCAAATATTTGTTGACTGAATAAACTTAATTTTAAGGAAAATGTCACTCATTTTGGGGAGTGTGGATTTGCTTTTCAGAGTAGTACATCTTTATTAGCTTGGTTTTATGAGTGCATATGTCTGCTTATCCAGCTGCAAGGAGATTATTCAGTGGGTGTTTGAAGTTACAGATGGAAAAAAAAATAATACACCCCAATTCAAAGCATGGGAAAATAAGAAAGATCTATTTGGTTCATGGCATTACCAATGCTATTCAAAAGACTGTTGGCAACTACAAGCCAATTAGAACTAAACTGTCATTCAGAAGATACTCAATAAAATAATAAAAACACAGGTCCAGGTTAAAGTGTGTAATCTTGTCTCCTTAAAATGATGCTTTTGATTCATATATTTTATACAGTCAGGACTTGACCCCTTAGCCCATGGTGAAAGTCACTCACTTATCTTTTGTCTGCTTCCCAGTCCTGTAACCAAGTTCCTCTTCTTACTCTTCTTTTGGCTCAACTGTTATGTATGCCAATCATTAAGTCCCTCCCCCTTTTTTTTGGATTCCTTTAGATAATGGTACCAGAGCAAATAGGTGCAAGTGGCCTGGGGACAAGCTGAGCTGACCGCATGCTCTCAGCTAGTCATGATATACTGGGGACTTTTATCCTAGAGTCTGAGTTCAGATTTTCTGAAGATAGGTTAGCAGCTTACTGTGCTTTAAGTACTGGCTCCTGGGGAGGATATCAACAGTTCCTTTAGAAATTTTGAGATTACCTTAACCTCAGAAGGAACATGAGGAATGTCAAAACCCCAAACCTTTTGAGAGTGCTCATTAAAAAACAGGATCTGTTGGCCCTCCCTGGTGGCGCAGTGGGTTAGGAAGCAGCACTGCAAGCTGGCTGCAGCTGCTTCAGTGCGAGTTCAATCCCCAACGCAGAGGTGATCCACATGGCCACTGCAGTGGCAGACCTCTCCTGACCTGCCCACTGCTCCCCTCAGTAGTGTACTTCATAGATCTGCCTGTTCTGCTCCCCACTGTCTCTGGTGAAGCCTCACACCACTGGCTTGTACCCCAGTTCTGTGTGAATAAATAAATGAATCTTAAAAAAACAAACAGTGATTTATAGGAAATTATTCTTTAAGAAAAAAAAATCTGTTAATGTTCTTTCAATGAAATGGTTGGTAAACCCCAAGTAAAATGCTTTTTTTGTAAAGGTTGCAGTTGGTTCAGTAGGTTGAGGTTTTCTTTATCTTTAAATAACTGAAAACACACAAAACCATATGTCTTTTCTTTGCCAGAGGGATGATACCATACCATCTGAAGTAGGTTAAATAAAATTACCACAGCTTTACAGGAAAAAATTCAACAGGGAAAGATAATCATACAAGTGACTTATCTGAAGCAATAGCATTTGGAAGAGGGAGATCAGAGAGAGATGCTTGGTTCTGCAAAGCCAGACTGCACGATTTCCTTAGGGAGTCAGCCATAGTTAGTCCCTGTCCTTATCTCCAAAAGTACTGGGCACATGTTAAATTACATTTTAAAAAGGAGCTTGGTTAAACTCAGATGTTAGTAGAGATTCAATTTTACTTTCTGCTTTTTTTTTTTTTCCTCAAGATTTCAGATCATGTAGCGGGAAACTGACATGATC